ACTAATAATTAAGAAAAAAACAAATTAGGGCAATTTATTAATTTGTTAATTATAAAACGTATACTTGTAATTAATTTTATATTTATCAAAAGAAATATATCCATCAAATTAATAAAATTTGAAATAATTAATATAATGTCCTTTTACTGTTAAAATAATTATTTTAAATAGCCACGACATGTAGCTAAATTAGCAGCTTCGAAGGTATGGAGATTAAAATAACTGCAAAGGTAAAACCAAAAACTTATTCAAAATGTCGAAATAATAATAAAACCAATTTATCGGCTATATTAACTATTAAACATGATATATTAGTATCATAACATTCAAACTGTTTTTGATACAAAGCTTTTAAATGACGTTAATGCATTTCTGTACCTACTTCGAATTGTATAGATTATGATATAAATTTGCCTTTTGTATTCGATGTTGATTCATTAGTGCATAATATTTGTACTACAATTTAACTACAGGGCTTTATATGGTCATTATTAAATCATTGAATTATATATTGTCCTGAATTCGAATAAAGTTCGAACGAATCGTTGTTAGCATTTTGTGACTATTTATCTGTAGCTACAACATTGACATTAGTTTGATAAAATAATATTTAAAAAATTGTTAGTGTTTATAGTTTATACTTAGATATAATATAATATGATTACAATATACACTGTATAGAACTTTGTTCAATATTTAAAAAAAAAGAAAACCACCAACTTTTTTTTTTTAATAAACATATAGATTTTCTTGTTAATAATAATAATAATCAGGGTAATATGAAAGACATACAATTTAATTATAGTTTCCCATCGATGCTTTGATGTATATCCATTTTTGAACAAAATTATTAGCTATACATTTCTAAAGTAAGTTTAAAATATATAAAAATACCTTTTTTTCAAATTGATAAATAAGTAAAATAAAACGTTGTATAATATTAAATTGGTTTATAATACTATAGTAGTATATATAGTGTCACATAATAAAGTAACCCTGATGTAATTAACATGTTATTATTTAATTAATTCATTACTATCCATCTATTCAATGCACATAAAATACACGCATATATATTGCAAAAAAAATGTTGATTATTTTAAAACCAATTGCATGGAAACTTAATTATGTCCGAAATAGTTAGTTAAGAAATTTAAAAATAATAATCATGCAACTTATAAATTAGGCGACGTACTGTTTGATATTCGATGTCTAATATCACTGAACAAGACAATAATATAATTATTCTAGCACTTCTTTTTTTTTTTTTTTTTTTTTTTTTAATATTTCTACAACGAATATAATATGTACCTAATAGTGTACTGTATACAAACTACACGACAATTTATTTTGACTTAACAATACGATAAATTAGTAAAAGCAATTTAAATGTAATTGAACGTTTTGTGTGAAAGTGTATTGTACTACTCGTCTACTTAATACTTAACTATAAAAAAAAAAAAAAAAAAAATGTCAACTATTTACATTTTTGATTAAAAATAATATAATTAAGTTATTTGTATATTAAAGATTTTATACGTTTAATAGGAATAAAGAACGTTTTTCAACAAGCTTGTCGTAAAATTCAATTGTGATGTCTGCAGCTTTCTTGGTAAAATAATATACTAACTTACTACGTATATGATTATAAGATTATTATTATTATTATTATTATTATTATTATTATTATTATTATTATCATCATCATTACCTATTTATTACGATTATTTTGATATAATAAATAACTACCCTTTTATCATTTTATATATATATATATATATAATACGATAATCGCTATTCATCAGTAAGTCATTCGGCGTAATATGGTTTTTAACATAATCCTACTTCAGAATTTTCTACTTACCTATATATATATATATATATATATTTATTACGCAATATTATTCATAATATATAATATGCCGAATACAAAATCATATAATAACAGAAATCATTTTGTCTAGTAACACTTCAAAACGTCTCCCATTCCTACGTTAATAGTACCTACTACTACTACTACTACTTCTTATACACTACTAATCTGCTGGTGCTTTAAATTTACAATGATATATATTATATTATATTATATTGGTATATACGCTGCAGTTAAACCTAATACCTACCGTGCACAATAATATTATTGTAGTATTATATAATATACCTGCATCTGAATTAAGAAGATGCTCATTATATATAATATGTCTACCTGGTGTGGTTATTTCCGTAATCTTGGTTAGTCATTTGTAATAACGTGGGTAATAAATGCCGAGTGTTAATACACGCATGTATTTGTATATAGTTATATACGTACGTGTGAACTATGTACATGTGTATGAAGTGCGTATAACTAATAATGTGTACAGTGAATGTAGTCTTTGCAGTGCATCGATATATAATTAAATTGTATTTTATAGTGTTGTTTACATTGATTTTTCAAATGGTGAACATTTTTTTCTATATATTTTCTATATAAAATTAAATTATAGTGTATGATTTAAATATTATAGCTATGTGTTAAAATATCATAAGTACCTGTTTAGTAATCGAAAAGAAATTTTTCCCACGTTTTATTTAATATTATTTATATTGATTATTACCGAAGTTCCACCTAAGTAAATGCTCAAACTGTATCTAAAGAAGACCTTAAGTGTTTGCCCAGTATACCGAAAAAGTAACAGCATTTATAAAAAAAAAAATTAATCTTTTAGGATTAAGATCATTTTATTAATATTATTTTATTATTTTATTACATATAAGTTTATACACGATTTTTTTGCCACAAATTACATGATATAGTGGATATTATATAATTATAATATTTACAACAAATAAACAAACTAAAAACATATACCAAATTTGCTATAAAATAGTTAACAAATTTAAATACCTATTTACACATACATTATATACTATGAAATTTTATGCCACGAATACATTAAGTATAAACACTGATATTATTACGATAAGCATAATAATGTATAAAAATTAGTAAACAATATTCATCATATAAAATTAAATTTTTTTTTGACTTAATTCATAAACGTTTTTACATTAAGCAGATTTACAACATTTATGGAATAGTTTGAGAATCAATGACCCTTATTTTTCCACACATGTGTTTAGAAATTTTAAATTAATATTCTCATGCAGATCGGACTCTGAACGCAGAAATTGTTCTCCAAATATACTTCTCCATACATTAATACATTAATAAATACTTATATATTTAAATATAGCAAGGACATCGATTTATCTCTTTCGACGAGGATATAATAAATAATAACACGTATGTATAGCATGAAACGTATTCTAACATTTATATACGAATGTATACTATAATAACGTGATGGAAATAATAAAAAAATGTAACCAATCGATCCATTCATTTATTTTTCTATAACACAGTGAATACCTTTTAGTAGAGTAATATTGTTTAAACTACTCATCATTGTCTTTTGTAAAAAAACATTTTCCAATATCAGGCCTCTTATAGATTTATTTTTATAGAAGAAAGAGAAAAAAATAGAATATTTACAGCAGTGAGGATGTATATTATTGTTGGTTTATTACTGATATTTTTTCCTAAAAATATATATATATATATTATTACCATGACTTATACAAACTTAATAATAAAACAGAATAAAATAAGTATTTCATTTTTGTGTAGTAATTTTCTATCGATGACATAAGATTATGATGGTAACGTACTAACGTATAAATAATATTAAAATAATTTGGACTTTTTCCGGATCACACCTTTTATGATTACTATGATATTATTTTTATTACTATTATATATTTATTTATTTATATTTACTCAAGGGCTCACTGTAAATAAAAAATGGATTCCGATCTTGCTCTAAACACATGAATGTAATAAATTTTTCTGAACTCCCCTTCGGCGTTATTATTTTTTTTTTCGTCCATTTCTTCTCCATTTTATTCTTATTCTAAATAAACACCGGTCGTACCCACTATTTACTCCGATTTTCAATTATGCCGCCTGTATCGATCAGTATTTTTCAAATGTCGATACGAAGAAAAAATAAATGAAAACTGCAACAATTGTATATAAATTCTACTTCGATTATATCTACAGGTCGTTTATTAAACGCTTCTGAGTTTATCCATTATATGCTCACTATAACAACACTAGTTAGATAATTTATAAATTAAATATTATTAATTTAAATATTATATAACCTTGCCGTTAGATCTTAATCTAATCAACGTATTCAAAAGAAATTATTATAAAAACAAATATTATATTTAAAATGGAAATTATGTTTGATTATATCTTTCAGTAGTCCTAATAAATTTTATTTTTTTATTTATTATTTATATACTATTTGTAATCCTGACATCAAAACGGGAAATTTAAATAGGTAATTCACCTTATTTAAGTTGAAATTATGTAACATATATGGATTTAGTTGGTATTTACTTCGAGAGTATGTCAACGGTATTAGTTAAAATACATATATTTGTTAAGTAATACAAATATTTTATAAATAATTTATTATTGGTTTAATTAAATTTTAAAATAATTGAAAGAAAATGAAAAATGAATTTATATTTATTCAAAACCATTAATTTTATACATTTTTACTAATAAATGCATTTTCTAATTATATTATGTACGACAATTAAACATTATTCAAACATTCCAACTATTTCATGTTTTACTATAACCATTTTAAAATAATTTTATATTTATTTATTTAAACAAATCATGTATTAGTTTTTAAATAATTATTATAATAATAAATTATAGTTCCCACTTATATATTAATAATAACATTAAGAAAAAACAATGCATTGCTATTTTATAAATATAAATATACAAAAGAGAATAAAGAAACAAATATCTTATACAATGGAGCTTGCTAAAAAAGCATCATAAATAATACTAAAAACTAAGGTAAACTTCTACCTTTGTTTTAGTGAAATGATAATTTAAAAATAAAATACAATAAAAATACTACTTCCACACTTACGGTTCAAAATGATGATGCTGTCATATCAATGAATCTAAATCCTTTTCTTAAAAATTCATCTGGAACAATTAAAAATGAAAAATTAGTATCTAAAAATATTATTTTTCATACATTTGAATACATAATTACATAGAATAAACCATTCAATAAGTTATAAATATTATTCAAGTATATATTTATCATATTAAAGAATAGTGGATTGTTAATTTACAACATTGTATTTCTTGCTAAATCACAATTTTATGTCACCTTCAATATTACTTTAAATTACTAGTTATTTTAGACTAAATGTTTATTGTACGTTAAAGTTAAAATTAATTTTATGTAATAATGTGTTTAAAAATGTGAAATAAAACAGTATTTTATTTGTAATTAATCAATGGTATAATATACTTTTAGTAAATCTTTAATAGTTATCGACTTTTTTAATCTTAGCCTTACAGTTATACTCATCTGCGATATTCGATTTAATATTTCTTATTTTATATACCGGGGTTCAGGCCACAACATTTTACAGATTACAGTATGCATCAGTATGCATCTATTTGAAATCAAAACCTTGATTAAAATATATAGGCACTTACTATATTTTCAAATTGTTAGGTTTTTAATTATATGTTAGTATTTCCTTACGATATGTCGCCCTTTTAACAGTATTATTGTTTTGTTGGTAATTATACTTAGAATGCTGCCTGTTATGATATGAAAAACACATTTATAAAAACGAATAATTGAGTTAAAAAATATTTGAAATCTCCACTGCTTAAGATTACTATTATTTTGGACATAGAATTATAATGTACAGTAGAAACATTTTAAATTCGTGACAATATTTGCGTAGTTATACTCAAAAATATGATATTTTTTTTTGTGATTCGACTATTTTTATAAGACAAAAATTATCGTTTTATACTATCAAATAAATAAATCTGGTGTTGTTGATATGTAATCTTTTGTATAATTACCAAGGTCTAATATTTATCAGATTAATATGTTAGAGGAATGGTTTTATTGTATGAACGAAGGTTTGGAGTTGTATGCATTACGTTTATATCACATTATGTGTCTTATTCAATCTATAAGGATTTATTCTGATATATTTGTTTGTTGATATAAAGTTATATTTTTCAAATATTATCAAAAAACGAGTTGCATTAATAAAGATCTCAATGTACCTAACTTCATCCCTGCGATGATACATTCATATGGAATAAAAATTGAAAATTATACAGCATATTTTTGCACATACTCATGGCATGTACGAGTAAAAATGTCGACCTGACATTATTGTACTCAAGTTAAAAATTATTTACGATAGGAGTTATACACGCTAAAACATAAACACTTTTTCCGTTATAATTTACTTTTATTTCACGAACGACATAAATATTCTATTATTTGAAAAACGACGACGAGTCGCGTTCGCTAGTCGCGCTTAAAAATAACTTTTCAACTTTCAAACGGTTTTTCGTGGACGTGCAAAACGGCCCGCTCTGCGATGCAGAAGACGCGACTGGAAATCTTGCGGTGCGTCAATTTCTATTAAATAACAACAAAAACAAAAACTATTACAATTCATCGCAATCCGCGTATTATTTGATCGGATCACGCCACAAATAAAGGTACATAAGTTTATGTTGCGCCTCCGTTAATTGCTTTTGCAATTAAACGCTGCAGGGTTTGAATTAAACGCACCGCTCTTAAAATAACACATAATATAATATATATTATGTACCACGAGTATCTGTCATCTATATTGTATTGTATACGTCATGGACGTTATCATTTTACGCAGCAGATACGCGGAAATAACCGCGGAAGCAATAACGTGTCAGTTACCGATTGTAATATCCTACGCTTTCCCGTAATCAGTTCGGATTTCAACGGTCCATCGAAAAAAATTAAATAAATACCAACAACAGCGTTGCCATCGCCGCAAACACTATTAAACCGTTTCAACGCACAATCAAAAAATATTCACATTTTCACTTTGCAGTCCCCGGTGCCTCGAAGTCGTCTTTGGATACCGAGCGCTCATTCCTGCGGGACCCGTGACACTTGTATGATTAAAACACCGGCAGCTACGCAGCATATTATTATAATCATCTCGAAACAAATCTCGACGCTTATATCTCAAACAGTTTTCTGTAGAGAATTTTTTTTTCATCGATCCGGCTCGGGTTTTTTTTTAAGAAATTAAAAATATATTGATTACCTGGTTCAGTTGCATTGTCTTACATATTGATTTGTTCCAATCCGATCTATGATATTATGAACTATTCAGATTTTTCTGATGTATGTGTGTGTATAGAGTGGTGACGGCGGCGGTGAGCAGAGTGATATAATTATTAATTTTATCACCGTGAATTCCTGCGATCCAGCAGAATAAGGCAGACGCTAAATGGATGACTAAGCCGACGGTACACAATCAAAAACGATTTAATTTTCGACCTACAGTCGTATGTATTTATGTGTATATCCATGTATAAATATATAAGACGATACATAATGACACACAGTTCACGTAGAATGGATTTTGTAGTTCGATTGTTTCGCGACGAATGTAATAATACACAATCGCAGTGAAAAATACACAGTAGGCTGCTGTTCTTTAATATCGTAATAATTATATTATTATACCAACTCGTTTCGTATTCCTATATTTTTTTCAATTAATGTACGCTTTGTCTACAATTAAAATGTAACCACAATAGTGCTGTGTTAAATTCGTTTTTATCAAAAACGATTCGTTCGACGTACAGTTTATGCTTCACGCGCGCACAAGCGTGTGTATATCTCGTAAATAATTACTGTCAGCTATTCGTCCGTCAACATTTCGCATGGGTTTCATATTCCATTATAGTACATGCAACATGGTTCGTATAGTCAGCCGATCAGTTAGCTATTTGTTCGCTTGTTTCGAGACCGTAATAACGAGGAGTATTAAAACTTTTAAGTACTAACGTCACAACACTGTGGCCCCCGACAAGCAAATCGTTACGACATTCCGTTTTTGTAGTTAGCGTTAAGTTCTACATAATATAATATATATATTATGTTTGTGTGTTCATTAATTCAAATATCTAACAAGTCTTATAAGCAGGTCAGAGTAGACACTCCGCATAATATTCCACGGCACCGATTTAAAGCCGATTCTACGATTACGTTAAGTCAGCCAATCTCCTCACTAAAGTCGCCTACTAATCGTCTAATATATATTTATTTTTATATTCGTTTGGCGATTTATCCGATATTATACTCCGCTGTTATAAAAGTATAAATAGTTGTTAAATATAAATAAATTGAAATAAACGAAACCATCCCTTCCTAAACAAAACCATCGTCAACCAATTATATTAGATGAACATTGGAACGTGTAAATATAGATGTTTTTACAGATAGAAGAGGTTAGGTTAACTTAAAAATCATAGCTTTTTATTTTTTTAAACTCTCAGTTATCTAGTACTTTTTTTTTTTTTTATAGAGAATATTTTAAACAATTATTGTTTAATGTTGGTAGAAAATGATATCTGTTAAGGATAACTAATAAACAAGTTTTGATTCTTTATGTTTTTAATTTAATTATTTTTCTATTGAGTATCAAGCTTTGAAAAACTTATTACATTGACTCAGTAATTCTCGCTAAACTACGCATGTCAGTCAAAACTGATGTAAAATCGTAAATTCCTCAAAACAGTCATAGATGTTGCTCACTTATGTGTACTGATTCAATATTCAACAGTTCTTTAATATATTATGTATCATGTCTGTTGCAAAATATGACAAGGAATAGTTATGTACGAATAGACTGAAAATGTATCTAATAGAAATACAATGAAGTAAATCGTAAGGAGTAAATTTATTTATGTAAATTATATATAATTTTAATTGATAAATAATATTTAGTATAATCTATATTTCCTACGTATAACTAATTATAAATGACAAAAAAAAGTAATTTTATTGAGTACTTGTTTTATCGTCGTAAAACATAATTTTTAAAATGTTTATAAAGTACTTTATACACAGCTAGACACTTTTATTTTAAACATCTTAAAATTTAAATATAGCATAACCAATTTTATTAAAAAATAATTTTACTATTCTATGCAAATATACAATTTGCAATATAATTTAGTAAAATTATTATATATTAATTTGAAGTTTTTATTTTTTTTATAAAACATTAATAATGTCTATAAAATAAATAACTAGTGTCAAAGAATATTTAAAGTCTTTAAAGTTATGGAGTAATTTTCAAAGTTACTATAATCATATATTAAGCGTTATTGAAATAAATTGTTCAATATTTTAAATTTAAAACATGAGTTGCAATGACTTTTTCTTAAATATATGTTACATTGTTTTAAGTTATACATTATTGTGAGTTTATACCTATATTTTGTGATAATATACTGTAGTGGCGTTTAATTTTAACTTAATATATTAATAAATGATATGTATTGTTGTGAAATCAATTTTTTCATTATAATATAAAATTACAGGTTTCGCGATGTTCTGAAGAAAATATTTAAATTATTATCACAAAAAAAAAAAAAAAAAAAAAATACAAAAACGAGATTTTGAAAAAAATGTCATCTAGAGTTTTTTAATTAAACAAAAAAGACTCGTATAGTACCTATAGTATAAACATCAACGGAATGAAAACAATTAGTCGTTTAAACTTGACAACGATGACGGCCTTTCAGCAACGTTCTTCCCCCACATAGCGCGCAAACCATACCATATAGCAATTTAGTCATGTCGTTGTTTATTCAATTTTTTTCTAATTTTACTCTGTTCGATTGCCAAAAATCATCATTCTCACAATATTATGATTCTATTTCATCCACCCATTTTCTGATTATTATATATATATGTATGTATATTTGACAGTCTACGAAATATTCAGTATAATAGAAAATCATTTGGACCTACCGCAGGAGTATTTTTGCGTATATATACAGTATACACAGTCATTGTGGAACAGAAGCGACACGGCAAAAAACACGCCACTCCCTATTAACCTAACAGCAGGCTGAAGTGTCAACGACGTCAG